CGGGGCTGTGAGCAACCTGATGTGGTTCAAGGTGTCCCTGCTCCTGCAGGGGGGTTGGGCTGGGTGACCTCTGGGGGTCCCTTCCCACCCAAACCATTCCATGATTCTATGATTCTATTAAATTAATAACAACATTAAGTAAACCTACAGAATATTCTTGCTGCAAACGCATATTCATTCCTTAAGGAGTGCATTCACCTTCTGAACAAAAACTGTGCCGTTCCACGAGACACAAACCCAACCAACTTCCCACCTGCAGGGATTGTGCGAGATCTACTTCTTTTTGTAATGTTAGACCCAAGCCAGCTCTAAGATCAATATAAACCACTCCTGCAATAACCCGACTGCTTCTCCAACACAAAGGGAATGCCTTCATTTCTGCAGAACAGTGAAGCTGAAATAACCTTGCAATACACAGCAAGATTTTTTTTTTCCTAGCTTCAGTCTCAAAGGAAAAAATCCAGGCAGGAAAGAGCTGTGGTATCAGCCAGGTAACTCTCACACCTCGACCACCTTTGCAGTACAACCTGCGAGCCTCCACCAGAACCGGGGTTGCAGCATTTATCTGCTGTGTTTCTCTCTCTTAGTGGGAATTAGTTAGGATTTCTGCTCTAAACCTCAAGAACAGAAGAGCAAGAAGAAATCTTAACAGAATCCCCCGAAATCGGAACGGGACCCTCTGCTCTGAGCTGTCATCTCCCACCTTCCCAGCCATGGCACGTTTCACACATCTGGCAACGTTCCCCACGCTGATGACCACCTATCGGGGAAGGAATAGTGGAATTACTGTAGGTCGCTGGAAATTTCAGCTTAGTTCTCGGAGTGACGGACACGTGGATTGCTGGAAATCGTACAAAAGGATCAGAGAGGAAAAATACTGTGTCCTTCTGTGAATTCACAGCATGCCCGTATCTCGAGTGCGGCACGTTTGAGAGTGCCATCGTATAACGACATTGCCAGGAGCACTGTTGGGGACCAGACACCAGGAAAGGAAGATCTTTTCGTTTGATCCATGGGGCTGGTCTTGGCATTCACACCTCATCTGCGAAGGGACCTGCAGCTCTCTCTTCGGGTGACTGCCCCTCGCCTGTTCTTCCCACGGCTTTGCCTCAGCTGTACCCAGGGGTCGGGGACGCGCGGCTGAACTGGCAGGATGCTCCGCTGGCCCCTGGCTCTTTGCCATTCAAAGCTCAAGCTGGAGCTTCCTTTCCAGATGCTTTCAACCCCACCTTTACCCTCACAATCATTACAGTTTGGTTTAGTTATATTCATTGAACAGAATTCTTATTCTGGAAGATATTCCACACCTCAACCTTCTCAGTTTAAGCCTTACTTTGCTCATCGCAGTTCCCTTTGGTTCTTCACAAGGAAACACATCTTGCCCTGGCAGTATATGAGAAGCGAGGACAAGTGTTAGAGGACAACAGTAACTTTGCCGGTATGTACACTGAAATGCTTGGTGTGGAGCCTGTGCTTTCGATCACGCACACATGTGCGTTCACTGTTTATGGAGTCTTTCCAGTGTTCTGCCCATGAGCACTCCAAAGCCAGCCCCAAGACGTAAAACCCAAGCTGAAGCCCGTCGATGTGCACATGTACCTCGGGCCGCCAGTCATTACACAACCACCACTGACTGCATGTGCTTTATTACTGCTTCATGACATCATGAGATCCTTCTGCCATTTAACCAACCCAAGTGATTTTGCATTATCAACTTTCTACGTTTATATCTATAATCTATCTCCCCTCTTGTTTCACACAGAATCCCAGCATGGCAGGGGTTGGCAGGGCCCTCCGGAGCTCACCCAGTCCAATGCTCCCCGCTCAAGCAGGTTCTCCTAGAGCATGTTACACAGGACTTCATCCAGACAGGGGCTGAGTATCTCCAGAGAAGGAGACTCCACAGCCCCCCTGGGCAGCCTGGGCCAGGGCTCGGGCACCCTCACAGTCAACAAGTTCTTCCTCCTGTTC